ATTACGTGCCGGTATGCAGCACCATCATGTCATCATTACGTGCCGGTATGCAGCACCATCATGTCATCATTACGTGCCGGTATGCAGCACCATCATGTCATCATTACGTGCCAGTATGCAGCACCATTATGTCATCATTACGTGCCGGTATGCAGCACCATTATGTAACATTACGTGGCCGGTAGGTAGCTCTCATAAGTCCTTCCTTCCTGGTGATGTCACAAGCTGATGGCCAGCTGCAAGCTCACGTCCTCTTAACCAAGGAATGCTATCATTTTGAGCATGCAGAGCCTGGGGTGGCAACCTCACGCCTGTCACATCGTCTCTTAGGCCCCCTGATCAGGTGCAGTCGCCTGTCTGGGGTGATGTGCGTCCAGAGAGACCGTAAGCTCATAAGCTAAGTGTGAAATTTGCCATAATTTCTCATTTTAAATACACCCCTCAAAAAATGTCTGTTGGGGGGGGGGGGGGATATGAAAAAATAAAAAGTACACACACAGCTGAGAGTGAACCTGGGGGTCTGGGTGTTGGGTCAGGCCACTTATCCGGGGCCCATGGAGCACACTGGGGGCTTAAGGGCCTCACTCAGGGGCCCATGGAGCACACTGGGGTTTAAGGGCCTCACTCAGGGGCCCATGGAGCACACTGGGGGCTTAAGGGCCTCACTCAGGGGCCCATGGAGCACACTGGGGGCTTAAGGGCCTCACTCAGGGGCCCATTGGAGGTGTGGCTATTCTGCGGAGGCAAGGGCTCGAGCTGGTCCCCTTCTGATCACAGGCACAGAGGCCTGACCCCCGGAGCCACAAACCCCCCCCCCGCCCCCCGTACCCCAATACACACCTCCTTCCCATCTCCCCAGCCTCCCTCCCCTCCCATCTGTCTCTGACTGGATTTCTCCAGTGGAAAACAGCCGCTACAGTAATTGACATTCCTGCGGCCCCCGTTTGGCACCTCCCCCTGCGAGCGCCATGCTCAGCCAAACTGAAGAACATTCCAGGCAGCTGAAACATTTATTTTCTTCCCATTTTCTATTTTCGTCCCAGTAATTTGTCTTTGTCGGGTCAAAAGAGCAGAGAGGAGTTTACTGGTGACTGGCGCTGCTGTATCTGTTCTGACACTCTGCTGTCACACGCCGAGTCTCAGTTAACTAGTTAATATGGATTACTGTACATTTACGGTCTGTCATGGTTGAATTGACTCCATTATAGGGAACCATCATGTACAATTAGTGGAATTTCAGTTGAAAAGTTAAAACTTGTCAGTGTGTCCCTTCAGACAGTATTTGATGTAGATTCTCCCAAAAGGAAGCTCTCATCCTCCTCTGGGTTTGACATCCTGGCCTCCATGCACACTGCTCCGTTATAAAAGTTTCAGTATTTACAGATGCAGATAAACACACAAAGAAGCACACATGTGATTACTGCATGTGATGATGAAGCTGATATTACACTCATCCTGAATTTCTCTGTTATAACGTGTGAAAAATCTAAATTGCTTCAGTTGAGAGTGTCACTTGAGTTTTAGACAATAACGTGTTTAACTTTATTTAACCAGGGTGGTCTGTTGGAACAGGTCAGAAAAATCTGCCCTCCCCGAAGCCCTCCAGATGATGGTTAGCTGCTATTAGCATAAACAAAGAGGGATTACTGTAACGGCACATGGCCGAAGGTCACTGCAGCAAACACCCACAGCATAAACAAAGAGGGATTACTGTAACGGCACATGGCCGAAGGTCACTGCAGCAAACACCCACAGCCTGCACATTTCCACACTGCGAGAGTCAAACAGCGGCCCTGCTCTCCACATTAAATTTAGCAGCCAAGAACTGGCATGAGAACAGTCAGGTCAATCAAAGATTAAATAGTAAGACCACTTTAATGGTTCTGGTCCAGTCCAAGGGGCAACATGAGTGAGTCCATTTGGAGGGAAAGCTGTGCACTGGTTTTGAAGGCTGTCCCCGTTCAGTACCCATGTGTAAAGCTGTGCACTGGTTCTGAAGGCTGTCCCCGTTCAGTACCCATGTGTAAACACAGCAAGCCACTGCACTTCCCCGCCCAGTTTATTTGGAAAGTGAAAACATGGAACTGAGCCTTGCCTCCTTTGTTACCATAGCTTAGTGAGTCATTTCCTACTGGTGCCCAGTCAAGACCTTCAGGTAAGTCTGAGGCTCTCAGTGTGGAAGGAAGCTGTGCCCGAGTCCATCCACTTGTCTGAGTTTTATTAGTCTGTTCTCACCACGATCGCCCTACCTTACGAGGATCATGTGAGATGTAGCTTTTTATCACTGTGTGTTTTGATGCTTAGGGGACAGTATCTACATCGCCGGCTCCGCTGGGCAAAGAGACACTCCACTGGAGAATTTAGCCAAATCAATCAGCATTTCTTATTAAATTTTTCACCTTGTTGACCTTCAGTTATACCACATTTGCATAAATGACTGTTTTGTACCTGAGATAGAGCCTCCCATGCCTGAGTGTGTGTGTCAGAAGCGTGTCCCTTCGCATCTGCAGGATGCTGTAACCACGGTAACGGCCTCAGTGCCATCAGCGGATGGAAGCTGGTCCTTAGCTCTCAGTCAGGCTGGTTTGTGGCCGGCGGTTGAGATGGATCACCCAGACGGGGCTGCAGAGCTTGTTTACCAGCACGGCATGTTAGAGGCAGGTCCCGCATGGTTGCCGGGGAATTTGCCCGAGCCTTGGTTGTGACTCTGCTCTCAGCTCACGCACATATAGATGGTCCTGCTTTGCTCAGTAGCTCTAGCAAGATGGTACTTTTATCTAAGGAGCTTGGAATAATTCCTAATGCCGTTGCATTCCAGGACCTCAGATCGCAATCTCAGAGCATGCAGCATAGTGTAATACTGTAAGAAGAGTTCCAAAGCAATCCAGGGAACAGACAGGAGAGGAAAAACACAGCCTTGCATTTTTCCATGGTGATTTCTCAAGTAGTGAGCATTCATCTGCTCAAGACGTTTGCTCTAGGTCCTGTTCAGCTGTCCTGTGGGGTGCGGTAGGTCTGCCTCGGACTGCTTCATTCAGACCATCTGCTGAAGTTCAAGCTGCACTTTTCCAGTTTTCCAAAGCTTGTGTGTCCCTTACAAGTACTAAGTGAAGCTGTAATAGGCAGCTGCCGTTAGGCAGTGCTTAAAGAAGTAATACACTCCTGTTTAATTTTCAAGGTGAAAAAACACTGTAAGATTTTAAAAGAAAATCTTAACAAAAAAAACCTTCACAGCAGTAAAATCTCTCCATCCATTTTCCATAAGTACATCGTTGTTATGTATCTATTACTGAAAAAACATGGAGGAAAATATGGTCTGATGTAACATACTTCTCAGAAAAAAACTATAATTTAATTACTTAATGGGACAAACCTGCTTCTTAGGTTGATGACTAAAATGTGTGTGATCAGCATAATGGTACGCAAACCAAAATAATGTAAGTTAGTGGCATTTTTCTTCAGTCATCTTTTGATTCCTTTGCTCACATCAAAGACCCGAACGCTGGCTTGGATGTGACTCTGCTGCTGGTCCAGTAAAACCAAAACTCACCTTCGTTCGTTTTCCAAGTCTGGACTCTTGGAGCAAACGGTTCCAAAAACAATAGGAAAACAGCAGCTGTTTCTGTTTCTAAAAGAAGAATATGAAACACCTGGAGATTTTAAAGGGAATTTTAAAAAAAAATCCATCTGGAATATGAATCCAGGCAGCCCTCTCGGGTCGTGCGGCATGTCGCTCCTTTCCGGGCCAACACCCCCTCCCATCTTATTTAAAGTGGGGCTGTTCACCCTGTGAGCAAAACAAGCTACACGGAGCGAAAGGGGAGTGTGACGCCGCGCAGAACAGAAACGGAACCCGAGAACCATGTTCGGGACCCTGACTGCCGCCGTCTCCCTTCTCCTGCTTGTGCCTGCGGTGAGCTTCGGAAAGGGGGCTCGTTTACTTCATGTCTGTTACTAACTATCTCTTAAGATAGTTAAACTCGTTTTACAAAGGCGTCTCGCAGCTCGATGTAATATATAATGTACGTCGGTAAATGAATTCTTTAGGTGATTCCCCACGTGGGATTTTGCATACCGATGATACTGCGCCCAGCACTGCAGCTGAAGAGAAAGAAAGGCGCTATATACATCCCGCTGTAAATACACGACACTGTCACTGCACCTCGTAACGCTGAAATGATCTGTGAGGAGTACGTACGCCTAGATGTGATCTGATTTAAATTAATTACATTTGCTGTTGAAATATTTACTGCAGCACTCGCGGAAATAACTGATGTACTTTTATGAAACTTTTTTTATGGCGTTTATATTCGCTGTCAGTGCTGGACTGCCCCGGTTTGCGTCACACGTAAACAAACTGGCTTCCTAATCTTATAAACCAACCCTTAAAAATAAATAATAAGCCATATCCTTTTTTATCAAGTACAAATTGCACGTCATTTGACATCTTAAAATTGTACATAGTGTGTGATTGTATGCGTGAGATTTTGGTGATAGAGGTGGTCTGAACCAATTATAACCGAATACGATTTTTTCCCTGTATTTTTTAGACTGATTAATTTCACATTGTAATGCATGCTATTTTAATAATAGTCTGAAAATACGAAGAGTGATTGTACGATATTACTTTGCGGTGTACCGTTATTCTTGCTGTGCGACATTTCAGAATATGGCAGCCTTTTGTGAATGGTATTTTATAGCCCGCAGCCTGCATGAAGTCCTGGTAAAATGTGAAGCATGTCGTGAATTTCCGATTGGAATGGACGCTGAATGGGGCCGCGCGGTGGACACAAGAGGAACTGCAACACGCTTGTATTAATAGAGTTGCATTTCTCTTCTGGTTGCAGGCAGCAAGCCAAGACTGTTCCCAGCCCTGTGAGTGTCCCTCGGAGACCCCAACCTGCCCCATAGGCACCAGCCTGCTCCTGGATGGCTGTGGTTGCTGTAAGGTGTGTGCCAGACAGGTGGGGGAGCCCTGTTCCCTGCTGGAGCCCTGTGACCATCACAGGCTGCTGTACTGTCACTCCGCTGCCATGGGCAACAGCGACACAGGGGTCTGCATGGGTGAGCAAGAGCATCTGAATAACACTGGGCTTTTCCCAGGTATCCCACCTCGGTTTGTGCTAGAATATTCCGAGGTGCAGGATCTCTGGATGTAGATTCCTACACTGTTAGAAATAAACAGTACCAATTTGTACCTTTGCTTGTCACTGGGGCTGTACCATCAATAGTAAATGTACCTTTTAACAGAAGTGGACTCTGAGCCATTTCTCTGAACATTTTTGTACCCGTTGGGGGACATTAATGTTGTTTGTACATTGGGAATGTTCCTCAGAGTCCATTTCTGTACCTTAAAAGCTGGTGCACAGCCCAGTGACAAGCAAAGGTACAAATTGGTGCTCTTTTTTCTGACAGTGTATCCAGTGTCCTTGATGCGGAATTGTCACAATAAATGATGAATGTATCTCTGGAAGAGCCCCGAGGGAGAGTCTAACTGTCCCACTGCCTCCGCCCGATGCCGCAGCCCGTGAAGGCGAGACGTGCACCCTGGGCGGGGTCCTGTACCGCAGTGGCGAGAGCTTCCAGCCCAGTTGCCGGCACCAGTGCGTCTGCATGAATGGCGAGATCGGCTGCGTGCCAACCTGCGGGGTCAACGTGCGCCTGCCTTCACCCGCCTGCCCATACCCCCGGCGCGTGCTCATACCCGGACAGTGCTGTGAGGAGTGGGTGTGCGACCCGGTCCCCAACGACGGCCGCCTGCAGTCCAGCCTGCCCGGTACGTCTTTGGCTTGGCGATGCCTCACCTCCTTCAAACAGGATATAGTTACGTGCTCCCTGAGTGTGGCCAAATGCCGCGGAACGCTGTCGGGATGGTGACGCAGGAGCACAGCACCCTGGCTGCTGTTCCAGGCTGTGCTGAGGTGTAGCCAAAGTAACCGGAGCCCAGGAATGATGTCACCGTCACCACAATCACTACTGGGAAGCCGAAGAAGTTAACCCCGCCCACCTACCAACTTAGCCAATTAAATTAAACCTTCCCAAACGTTTCAGAGGCATTGCATATTCTGGAAGACTCAGTTCAAATTCCTTTCCCCTAGTTTGCACTGACCTCAGACCTGTTTACTTGCTTGGGATAAGAGACATATTGTGCCCAGCTGAAAGGTCAGGCTTCTTGGGAAGGAGACCCAGACCTTGCCAGATGCTCTCCTCTGTTTCACCCAGATTACAGAGACGCCCCAGACTATGGCCTGGAAGCTGAAGGCCCGCAAGCCAACTGCATCACCCAGACCACCGAGTGGAGCGCGTGCTCCACCACCTGCGGCACGGGGGTCTCCACCCGCGTCACCAACGACAACGAGGGCTGCCAGCTGGAGAAGCAGAGCCGGGTCTGCATGATCCGAAGGTGCCAGGCTGAACAGGGGGGTGCTGCCAAGGTGTGTCGTCGGTGATGCCAACACCACTGCCCATTGGCTGGGCACTAGTCACATGATCAAGCTGCTACACATATTAAGGTTTCCAAAAAGCCGATTACTGTTCTCATAGTGAGCCGAATGTTTTTGCAGCTGTGGTGCTTAAGGCACCATGTTAAGCACTGTAGGTCACTTCAGAATAACTCAGGATTTCAGGGTCAAATTAACCTAAACACCACATAATGCTCTAATAACCACATAGCACAGGGTGATTAGAGGCCACAACTGCTGCGGAAGAAAGAAGGATTTCAAAAGGGAGCCTTTCTCTGTGTCAGGCTCCATGTGTTTTGCAAACTCTCAGCGCAGACATGACCGCCGTTTGTCTCGGTCTGCAGAGGGGGAAGCGGTGCCAGCGGAGCTCAAAATCCCAGCAGGCCGTGCGCTTCCAGCTGTCGGGCTGTACCAGCGTGCGGGCCTACAAGCCCCGGTTCTGCGGGACGTGCACGGACGGCCGCTGCTGCACGCCCAAGGACACGGTCACCGGCGAGGTGGAGTTCCACTGCCCCGAGGGCGACGGCTTCCGCCGCAAGATGATGTTCATAAAGTCCTGCTCCTGTCACCGCGACTGCCCCCAGGACAATGACATCTTCCTCACCACCCACCTCCGCCAGATGAGTGGGGACTATGAGAGCGGCATGTGAGGACCACGCCCATGTGACGACCACGCCCATGTGAGGACCATGCCCATGTGAGGACCATGCCCATGTGACGACCACGCCCATGTGAGGACCACACCCATGTGACGACCACGCCCATGTGAGGACCACACCCATGTGAAGACCACGCCCATGTGATGACCATGCCCATGTGAGGACCACGCCCATGTTAGTACCACACCCATGTGACGACCACGCACATGTGACGACCACGCCCATGTGAAGACCACGCACATATTTTAAATGTGGCTCATTTGACAATATACTGTTCATTGCTTATCGTATTTATATTTTAATTGGAGGAATATTGTCTTATGTAAATACTGTAAATAGCCCTTGTACAGTTTTGTACCATATTTATGTTTAATTCTTGATTGCCCTTATTATATTGTAGTATATCGCTAAATCCACTGCTCTCCCTCCCCTACAGTGCAGTCGAGTATATATTTCCAGCACCTATGCACTTACAATAAAAGCTTATATTTTTTGATATGACTCTTCCTTATACTTCAATTCCTTTTCATTGTGTGTCATTACATTTGAAATAACTGATGGGCAAATGAATTGGGAAATGGGGGAGGAGGGACAGTGGGCTACTTAACTTTTTTTAAATAAAACCTGATGAAAAATGACAAAATGACAGAAAGCCTGTCAAATGTGTCCATACATACATACTGTGGAACATGAGAGTTCAGCTTCATTCAGGACAGCAGAGACTTTAATATTTAACAGGTGAAAAGGCTTCAGACTTTCGTATTGAATTAATTATAACACAATGGGCCAACTCCTTTTATATTTGTAATTTGAATGGCTGATCATTCTAAAACACGCAATGCAATTGGCTGACCTTTGTCAAACATGTTAAATGATTGGCTGGCTTTTTCCAAGCATCAGTCCCCATTGCCTGTGGGTTTTGTACATCCACAGTCTGGGATAGAGGAGGCTCCTGTTTATTTATATATTTGTTTGCCTTCATAAACTGTGTCCACAATGCATTTCACTAATAATTTGGAGCTGTAATGGTAAACATTTTCCACATGTACCATTCAGTACATAATTTTGTACTGTAAAATCACTACAGATGTACTAAAAATCAGTTTGCAATCATTTAGTTATCCATACAAACACAAATTGCCTTTTCCTTATATAATATTTATCTGACCCTCCATCATAGCAACAAACACACAAAAATGTGTTATTATTACTTAAATCACCATAAAATTCTTCACTACAACAGTCAACCCAGAAGAAAAGAGCACTGATCAAACCTTCTTAGTCCCGGCTACCAACCAGCTTAACCATTTAATTAACTTCCCATGAAGCAGGAGCTCTTGATAACCAGGCAGGTCTGGCAAGCATTTGGTGTAATTAGGATGAAGCTGAAGGCTGGCCGGCTTATCTCTGTATAAAACTGGCAGTAGACTAGCTAGCAGGTAAAGTGGATTTTGTGGTTAATTTGAAATAAAATGCTTTTTGTAGGTATTTGGGGACTCATGGTTCTTAGTTCTTTGTGTAATGGACAGTTTCCTAGAGAAAGGCAGCCACAAACACGTTCACTTTGGAAGAGGCTGTGGTCTGATACACGACAGCCCCAAATCTTGTGGGTTCAAGCTCTGCAGTCACCTCATGAACTACACCCTGTGCTGCCTCTACAAGAGCTACAGGAGGTGTCAAAATCACATAACGAGGGACGCCTGGACATCTTAGGACCTAGTAAACAGACTATAGATGCACCTCTAGTGATGCAAGAGTCTCAGGAGCTGCCTCAAGGGGTGACATCATTCACACCAGGACCTGCGGAGACACCTGTGGTCACGCCGGGAACTGAGGAGGTGCTTTTGGTCATGCTGGGACCTGCAGGGCCACCTGTAGTTTTGCCAGGAACTGAGGAGGTCCTATTTGTTACACCGGGACCTGCGGAGGGGCCTGCGGTGACGCCGGGACCTGCGGAGGGGCCTGCGGTGACGCGAGTACCTGCGGTGACACCGGGACCTGCGGAGGGGCCTGCGGCGATGCGAGTACCTGCGGTGACGCCGGGACATGCGGAGGGGCCTGCGG